CCCCCCCCCGCCGTACTGCCCTGGATGCGGCTTGTCCAACCGGCGGCCGGCGGCAAGGAACAGAACTTGGAGGCCTACTTGAAACACAGCCAGCTGTACTATCGACCAACGAGGAAGATCGGCAAGACCGAGGAGCTCCTGGTTTGGTACGACGAGGAGCTTTCCAGCCTCCTGGGTTTCAGTGCACTCAAGGCCAGGACGCTCCCAGCCGGTGAGTCCTGGAGGGAAACCAGCCAGACGCGGCGGTGGCAGGGGCGTGGCGGAGGGCGAAAGCTCCATTACAGGCGATGCCGGGCAAGAGAAGAGTCCAGCTCTGATTCTCCGGGCTCTTGGGAACACAGTAGTCTGGGGGAGATTCTCTTACCCTCCGGGCATTGCTTTGCAAATCGCCCTCGTTGGCTTCCCAGCCCAGCCACACACACAGCAGTAGCGTGACTCCTGGGGTGATTTTGTAAGCGGATTGTTTTCGAATCGGTGAGACACCCAGCGAGGAGGCTGTCAAACTGGCTTCAGTCTGGCTCGCAGCAGGATTGCGCTGGTATATTTGCTGTCTGCTAGAATCCCTGTTAAAGGGCTAAAAGGGCGTCCACACAGGAGTCGACACAGGAAACCTTCACCATTCGTGGTGGATGCATTCCTGGCACCATCGCGAATGATGAAATTCGCGAATACTGGCGCCACGGCTCCTGGCCCCCGTGGCGAGCTCCCCATGGCTCCTACGCTCACCCCTGCGAATATGTGGAGCTGTGAATAGCGATTCCGCCAATCACGAGGGTCTTCTGCACTCAGTCAGCTGCCAAACTGATTTCAGTGAAACCAGTGCAGAGTGTGTGTGTGGACACATTGGATCAGTTTCAGATTGGTGACAGTGGCCTGGAAATTTACCAGCTCGGAGTGGGAAGGTTTCCTTGACCTAAGTAACCTAAGATGTGAATCGAAATCTGTAGTGAAACCAGTGCAGAGTGTGTGTGTGGACACATTGGATCAGTTTCAGATTGGTGACAGTGGCCTGGAAATTTACCAGCTCGGAGTGGGAAGGTTTCCTTGACCTAAGTAACCTAAGATGTGAATCGAAATCTGTAGCGTTACGCTGGTATGACCCTGCCCCTGCACGGACATCCGGTATTGGGCAGCTGCTGGATCGTGTGGCTTGGGAGGGGCTGTGAGGGA